CCAGAGAGCCCGGGACGGTTACAGAATATCATTAGCCTAATGGGCGGGATGGCAAGAATGAATGATTGCATTACGGTGCCATTTGCTGCAGTCTGTACATTGACATAAATAGTGCAAACAAACAATAACTGTCCATGTGCCCATTGTACTGTACTGTGATGGCTGGCTGTGTGATACATGGGTTCATGCCGGGGTCTGGGGGGGAGGGGGGAGGCGGGATGCTCTCTTTCGCCCTTGTGTTGGACTGAGTGGGTCTGGTGGGGGCTAAGTAGCTGGGAACTGGATTTAGACACAACTGCGTGATCCGCCATGACCACTCTGCAAAAAATACAAGGAGCAGATAAGAGAGACGGGGGAGGGGGCAGGGGAGGGGGGGGTGGTGCACAGAGAGGGAGAGAGCACTCAGCTTTCTCTCTTTTCAAGCCGTATTCTCAAGAATGCTTGAATGGAGCCATTATGAAGCCTAGATCCAACCAGTCTGGGACAGTTTAAATACCAAGAATACAAACTAGAGAGCTTGCTTTATACTTCTAAAGCAGTGGGTCCCAAACTGGGGGTTATGACCCTGCAAAAGTATATCAAAATATCCGTTTAAAACTCTCACACAACTCAAGCCCAATTATATAGTGTTGCTGTTGTTGTTGCCCATTTACTTTAATTCATCAATTTCAGTTTTATCCTTTTTATTTTTAGGGTAAAAGTATCCCTTTGAGTCATTTAATGATTCAGCTCTCGTGCTACTTTTTTTTAATTTGCAGTCCTCAACGTTCTTAATCCAGTGTGCAACAGACTGTAAACGACCTATTTGTACGGAGGAAATAAGCTTATTTGATTTGTCAGTATCTCGGATGAAGTCATTAAGTACTGAAGTTGTGGAAATGATGCTAATTGTTATTGATGCCACTCCGTGATTACCAAATAATAACCGATGATATGCTGCTCACATCATCACATTTACATGTTGCTCTCCTCGTTAGTGACGCCGGGCCAATCAGGATCCTCCGAGCACCAGAGGTGGGAAGTAGAGTATAAATACTTCGTTACTGTACTCAAGCACATTCATCTGGTATCAGTACTTTACTTATTTTTCTGACAACCTTTTACTTTTAAATTTTTAACGCAAATACCTGTACTTTCTACTTCTTACATTTTCAAAACAGGTGTGTTACTTTAGTTGTAATCTGTGTTTGGTGGAGTGATCATTATTATTTTGTCATTGCGTGCCTATTGATTTGAACACGATCCGTGTATCCATCATTTCCTGGTCTTCTCTAAAGAACAGGGACTAATGAAAACGTTGTCATGTTGCCGTTGTTCAGCATCGACACATTCATTAGCTAACAATGACATTATTGTTCTATTAATATAAAGGGAGGTCAGGTAGTCTGTAAAACAGCTGGTAGTTATGGGTACTTTTTACTTAAAGGTCCCATAGTATACTCATTTTCAACAATAGATTATAGCTCTCAGTTATATACAAAACATGTCTCTGAAGTGTTTGGCTCCAAACACCAAACAGATCATTGCAGCATCCCATAATCCCCTCTGTTTCAGCCCTGTTTCCAAAGTGCTGATTCTCTGTCTGTTACTTTAGATGAAAATAAGGAGCCCCTCCCCACGCTCCTCTGAGAGACATTTGGTTAAAAAACCCACAATGGTGCTCTAGGAGGAGATTCAGGTGATAAGGTGGGCAGGTGCTACCTTGGTTTGTGATTGGCTAATGGTTACACAAGCCAAAAATATCGTTATGACCTCATAAAGTGGCCAAAATCAGCTCATTTTCGGACAGGTTTTTATATAAATGGATCAGGACAAAAAGTGAGTGAATCTTTCTTCCTGAAACTTTTAGAATCTCTTTACGCAGAGGGGACACGAAAAAGTGGATTTTGCACAATAGGTGACCTTTAAGTACATTTTGAAGCCCATACTTCTTTACTTTTACTTGAGTAAAGAAGTTTAGTCAGAACATTTCTAAACATGAGTATCCGTACTTCTACTTAAGTAAAGGATGTGTGTACTTTTGCCATCTCTGCCGAGCACCTGCTCGCTGAGCCTCCCTGAGTTTTCCGCCCAAAGAGCGCCATCATAGCCTTGTCACGTCGACTCAGTCTCCTTACTCCCTTTTTTCGGTCAGGTGAGGGAGCACAGCCGTCTGAATCTGCAGTCCTAACGCTCTCTGTCACCCGTCTGTCCCTGCAGTCACTCTGCAGATTCATCTTTCTGCTGATGTCCCCTCGGTGTGGCACACATGCAGTTGCCAGCCTCGGCATTTTTAAAAAGGCCCTTCATGGCCTCGAGGCACAGGAAGCAGGTGAACGTAAGCACGTCATCTGTTAGTAAATGATCAAAAGGCCAGGTCACCAAATGATTGCCTTCTGGATCTGATTCCTGTGCTAATCCATCAACAAAATCTATACGAACACATCATCACGGATGCTAAAACACTGGAATCTTTCTCTTTTTTGTGTGTGGTTGTTCTAATTAATATGCCACGTCTTGGGCACACTTGAGGTAATTAACATAGTTTTTTGCCAGCAACACACAGCAGATGGTGATTGAAAGTAGAGGGATGAGTCGCTCAATCAACCACCATTTGTCTGTAGCCATTAATTATCTAGCGAAGAATACATTCAGTCCCCAAAGTTGATAGTTTGGGGGGGAAGAAGAATACTGTCCTTCTGTTCCTCATTACTCTTTAACAGCAGAAAGCGCTGAAACTAGAATGCCGGACAGGGAGATTGTGATTTTAATAGCACTGTCATTATCTTCTCCCAGAAGGTGGCATACGATAAAAGGCTTGTAGGACAAAAAAATGGCGCTAACAGAGGAGCGTTTGAACAAATGGAAGCCAAGCAATAGAGTGGTTCATTCTGTTGCGATTCATCAAAGGCCACTTTCACAGATGATGGCAACGCTGCAGAAATGTTTCTTCTTTTGATTAAAAGAAAAGAGCCAAAGGGTCACATGACCACAACACTGTCACGACAGGGCCATGTGACTTCCAGATCATGTCATGACATTTGTTAGACGCTTTTATCCAAGGCGACTTACATACATTCAGTACTGTGGACAATCCCCACAGGAGCAATTTGGGGTGAAGTGTCTTGCCCAGGGACACAACGACATGCTGACTGCAGTGGGACTCAAACTTGCTACCCCCTGATTCGAAGTCCAGCACACTATCCACTGCGCCACAGCCGCCCCAGATCATCCACAGTTTGTTCATGCAATCTGATGGGAAAGGAACAACGGCGTGCCTGCAGCGATCGCAGTCATTATATCATGATGCTTCATGATTTACCTTCCACTTCTGGCAAAGTCTTGTTAGTTTTGCGTCACTTGAGCGCCTTACTCTGCCTGGTAACGAGATACTACAATGTTACATACTCATCCTATTTGAATAATCTCAAACTAAAAGGCCAGGGAGGCAGAAAGTGAGGAGGAGTTTGGGGGATTGAGCAAAGAGAAACCTTGAAGGGACACCAGAGGCAGGAAGTGAGCGTCACATCCTGCCGTCGCTTCTTTGATGTTATTTTGTCGCCGCCAACAGCTCCCTAATCCCACATCTATAATCCTGTTTTTATTCTCTCTGCCAGCCTTGTAGTCAGAGGTAATCAGTGTCACCTAACTTTAATTATTGTGACAGAACCGGAGATAAATGTTGTTGCTTCAATGTCAGTTGTTCTCTATCGATACAGAAGGGAAATGTGTACTCTTGATACATCTTGTGCTCGGCTGAGGATATAAAAAAAAAGGTTCTTGATAGTAAATGACTGTAGATTGCTCATGTTCCACCCCACAGGCTTTAATTAACTAGTCTCAGGTAGTCTAATCTTATTATCGAAGACTGCTTTTTCCACACATTAGCCTGCTTACATGGTCATGACACGGGCAGAGGTGCCAGGATTGTGCACGGTTTTCATTTTCAACCACTTTAGACATTCTTGTCACATCGCTGGAAACAAAAGGCTGAATAGTCGGTGCCATTTCCAGGATTTCAACAGCCACAGCTAGACGCCAAATAAAATACACAGCTACACATCTCAGTGTTTGTCCCACAGAGAGCCGGCCCCATCAAACCCCATTATCTCCAAGGCTACCTCTTACTTCCAACTGGAGTAGAGATAGCTGCTTATCTACTGGTTAATAATAAAAAAGACACATAACAGATAACAAAAAAAAAAAAAAGCTATCCTATCGTGATGGAAGGAGAGAGGAGGGAGAGAAAAGGCCGACAGGGAGCAGAGAGATTTCCAGGGACAGTTTCATTCTGTGGAAAGGGCAAGCAGACGGAGACCTCCCGCTGTAATGCTCCAGCCGAGCCGAAATGAAAGCCAGCCGCTCTCTTCTCCGGGGCTAAACAGCGGCCTTAATAAAAAACACAATCAGACCCCCAACCTTAAAGTTTAATGCACATTCTCCCCATATTTCTCTTTGCACAAGTAGAGAAAAAAGACATGGTGAAAGCTCCCGGTGTGAACCCAGGCTGTGTTAAAGCAAAAAAGGGGGGCTGTTATAATCATTATGAATATCAAGCACACCATCAACCCACTATAGCTCTCCATCGCGTTAATGAAATTGTTCCCCCTAACTTTTTAATTAACTCGCAGACTCGTGGTGTGGAGTCAAGTTGTGGACACAAAGACTATGTTCTCTCCCAGGTGATGTGAATATCAAAGAGGGGAGTTGTTCTGAATTAGGCTGAGTTTATTTATTAGGGTAGAAGCTTCAGAGGGAGAGACAGATGTGCTCGTGTCGTTCCAGTCAGCTTTCATTCAACACTTTGATACTGTATATCAGCGCAGGAGCGAGGCATGATGGATTTATCGAGAGGCCACTTTTACAACATGCATTGTTTTCATAACTTTTAAATCTTTTTAAAAAAGGATGTCTGCTTGATATATTCAGACAGAGAACAAATCATCGCTCCCCGGCGCTGACTGTTTGATGACGGGACATTCATCACAGAGAAAAGGGAGATAATAGGGAAAAAATTAAGATTTTTGTTTCAAACACATTTCCCTTTATTGGCATGGTGAGGCTGATGAGAATTGCACATAAAAAATGAAATTCACAAGAAAGTCGTACAATAGGTAGAACCACAAAGGCATTGGTAAGGACTTGGCAGAAGGCAACGTGGATAGGACACAAACAGGTAACAACCCATAGCGGCCCCCCTCCCCCACACACACACACACACACACACACACACCCACCCACACACTTCCATAAACACACGCACACACCGGCCTAAAATCACACACACACACACACATACATTTGCTCATACACATATTGTCCTTCCAAAAAAAACATGATTACCCAACAAACGTTTAAGCACTGGCAAAGTCCTCAGTAGGTCACATTATTAAAAAGTCCGCCACATTTCAAATTTTGAACCAGAAGGTGTTATAATATATTGCTACTCTATGGCAATTTACAAAGCATTTTTTCATTACAATGATTAAAGCCACATCTATCAAATGGGACACGACACCATTACCCAAACGCTACACAGACATCAAAAAAGTAAAACAATGTCTTGAAACACAGGTGAAGGGATTTTTTTTTTTTATCATTCCTTGGGACCAATTTTTGCCTCTTTGAATCATAAAAAAATCTCGCCTCCACAGTCAAACTCCATGAAAGGAAGTCTGTGATCAGCAAAAGATTTTTGTCCTTCCTACGATTGGAAGCTGCTTCTCTCATTACTTGGCTGGAGCTAGAAACGGGATATTAATTGAACCAGAAAACCGCAAGGTTACCTTTTATGTCATGTGGACGGCGCTGTGATATCTAGACTGTGAGAGGAGGAGGATGGGCGGGGGAGGGTGGAAAGAGGTGCGGCATGCGATACATTGTCGAGTAGTTTTTCTCTAGGCTTATAGAAGGTCATTTAAAATCTGCCAGTGAAGACAGCTGAGAGGCAGATATCCAAAGTGGTAAATACTGTGCCGACTGTCATCCTGTAATAGCCATGCACTACACAACACACAGGTTCAACACGATTTACACACAGGTGGAGATCAGAGTCACGTCTGCACAGATGTCACAAGGTAATGCGTGCATTACAATCACATAGACTCAATTACATCTTAAAAGGGAAGACTGGGAAGTGGTGGTGGTGGGAAGTGGGGGGGACATTCAAGTGTTTACCGCACAGGGTCATGTGGATGAAATGAGACTGGAATGGAGTCAACCTACAGCAGCTAACCAGCGACTGGGTAATGGGTCAAGTCCAAAAATCACACAACAATAGAAGCTAAAATACAACTCTGAAAAATAATTTATTGCTTTTTATATAGTTTTTTCTTTCATTTATATTATTATCATTATTATTATGAATCATCTTGTAATTATCGTGAATAATATAATCATATATATATAAGTATATATATATATTGTACATCAAATACAAGATCTTTAAAAAAATTCAGGAAAAGGAAATTGTAAACTTTTGTTTGGCATTCACATAATCAAGCGTGAGTGGAGCGATGACAACGAGTGTTTACAGTGGTACAACAAAGACATTCCTGCTAAATCATTTTTATTGCTTCATGTTCTGCTCGTGTGTGGAAAGAGAAAGAGATGTGACGGATGGTGGAGACAGAAATCTCTGTGTGATGAGCGCTGCCTGCCGGAGTGATTAGCTGAATGGTTTGATTGTTTTGGAAAGGCATAGAAGGTAATATTATCTCCACCAAACCATTTATTGTACACCCTGTCTAGTGATTGGAAGTTAAATAACACAAATTGAAGGACAACATAAACCAGCAAATAGATTTTGTGAGGTGCGCCATGTCGAAATGGAGCCCATAAATAGTCTTGATTCAAATAATAAAATAAATAGATAAATATGTGTTTGTACTGATTGAACAGATTTGAATGCAGTAGTCTTTTTCATTGAAGGTAATCAAAAGGAGAACCATACAAAGCAATGAAATCAAACCCAGTTACATATATACATATCTGTATATATATTGATTGCTTCAGAAATAATTAATAAAAAAATGGGGTATCTTTTTTTTTTACAATCATGAAAAACACGTTAAAAATGCATTTTATACTGGTTTCATAAGCAAAAACACTGATTGAGAAACGTTATAAACAGAGAAAACTATACATGGTTGACTGTTTTTCCCCCCGACAAAATAACTTAAAAAAGGACGTTTGTTCACATGCTCCCTCAAAATGAGCAATCAGACAAATCTTTTTTCTTTTTTACAATCATATCATGTCTTCTAAACATCATGTAGGTGTACAATATGTTTTACAGTATTGTAATGACCACAGATCGACATTCTGAATTAAGAAATGTTCTCCATTTTTAAAAAAGGCTGCGTTTTACAGTGCATAGCTGTAACAAATAAAGAACTTTATCAGATATGTACATAAAATAAAAATATTCCTTTTTATAGTATTTGTAAATACACGGCTACATTTCTCCTCAAAATGTAGACAGCAATGTTACCTTGAGAATTTTACCTCCAAGACACAATTTCTTATACTCTTGTTTGTAATGTAACACGATATCCAAACACCAGGTTTAAAGAAAGAAAAAAATCAACAGCAAAAAAAAAAAAATCTGGCTGAACAAGCTGCATGTTTTCACCCCCAAAGAATTGTGGGTATTGTAGTGCTTTGAGAAAAAAATCACAAGTTTTTTTTTTCTTCTTTCACTGGCGGTAGCACAGCAGTGCACCAGGCTCTGAGGGTTCGCTGGATTTCCCAGAATGCAATGTCTCTTCCCAGCTCTTCAGCAGCTATGTTCATGTAAACTTTATTTTTGATATATTCATTTATATTGATATAGGTCTATAGACTTATTCGTATATACTCTATAGCATAGAGTGTAAAACTTCTGGTGGTCTCGTCGTCAAAGGAGCGAGACCCCACAGTGAGGTATCAGAAGTCCCTCTGTGACCGGTTACCTTCTCAGGCTGCGCTGCGCCTCCCTCAGCAAGCTGTCAAAATCCATGGAGTCGTACTTGCTTTTAGTGGAGGCTGGATCAAAGTCGTCCGAATGGGAGTCTGAGAGCAGAAAGAAGGGTTGTGATCAGTGTTGAGCAGAGCAGCGTTTCTTAAAAATAGTATTTCTTCACAGAATAAAGCTTCATTTAGCTAGGTGTTATTTGGTTACTTTGCTATTGAGCTACACAGTTTTCACATCTACATCTCCCTTAGAAATGTAATTAAGACCATGGATGTTGATCTGTTTGATCGCATACAGTATATTCTCAAAGAATAAAAGGTATAATATAATTTGACTTGAAGATTGAGTCTCTTGGTCTTTTCCATTTCATTTGACTGCAATAATATTAATCAAGACTTCCTGGATCCTGTTCTAAAACGTTTTGGTCCCAGCTCACAGAATACAGCAGTATTGCTTGTAGCTAGGTCTTAATCTGATGGTTACTTTGCATTTGATTAAAAAATAATAATGTTGGGAAAGAACACCCATCAGGGTCCAACGATGAAGACCGAGAGTTGACCTGAATCTTCTCACCTGCCCTACTACAGAGCATGTGTCAGATCAGCAATCAAAGCCATGTCAAATCTCCTTTTTTAATTACGAAAGTACAAAAAAGTGTATATTGCTAGTTTGAGTTTCCACAAATCATGAAGATGCGATAAACTTCAAAAAATAAAGAATGATTTGCGAATAGTCAGATAGTAAGTTGCATGCAGGAATATTTACTGAATGACCACGACAAAGCACCCTAATAACTTAAACCAAAGAATTCTAACCGTGCAGGTAGAAAAAGTGCCTTATTTGTATCTCTCTGTCTGTCAATCTTCTCATATGTCCTATTTTTCTGATTAACCTGATAATACAAAAAGAGTGTCTTATCTCTGCCAACAGACAGCTTCACAAATGGGGCCCCCAAAGGGCCCAGCAGCACACTGCGAGAGCTTTGAGAAATGGGAATGACCATGGCAGCTGGAAGACGCCAGTTGTGATCTAATGCAGCGGCCGAGGGCTGGATTGTGTCACACTGCGCACCTTGAGGAATGAAAAATACCATGGTGCTCTACTTAAAACTAATGGACAGTGTCTCCGAACACACAGGGAAGAGGCCTTAAAGATTGAAAAGAGGGGGGAGAGCTTTGGATCCTCCCCTCCATCTCTCTATCCTGTGCTATCAGTGTGGGGACGACCAAAATAGCCCCGTTCCTGACGAAGAGGCGCTCGAATGAAGGCCTTTCCATTCCAGTAGACTGATTAGTCAATCTCGGCATAATGTCTATCCTCAAGGCTTCAGGATTAGCAACTGTTTCTGTGTGTGTGTCAATTTCTCATCATGTCCTCTCTTTAAGAGCCGGTAGCTTCAAGCATGCGCTTTGCAAATGTATAGTAACCACTTCATTTATTGAGACAAGTGGCTCTTTTTCTCTCCGCTGACCCGCTGACCCTCTTGCCGCGGTGCATTATACATTTCTGACCTCCCATTTTTGCTGGTAAATACATGTCACGGTCAATGCCCATCTTATATCAAATGGAGGAGATTATCTTCTCTTGCGACACTTCAGCTGCTCAATTATTATCACCAGCGGTTTAATTGTGCAACAAACAGAAGATAAGAGGATACCAGATCTGCCTTTCCAGAGTTTGCAGTAGTTTTCTCTAGGCTTACAGAAGGGAGTTCTTTTGAAAAACTAGAATTAGCACTAGAAAGTACTCGCTACTCTTTTGGGGCATCATGCCAGTAAAAACAAGGCCTTGATTTCACGGATATCTTGAATGATTTATTAAATGTGCCATTCAACCTTCGGCTGAGCACAGATTCCTCTCTGAGATGTATGGACCTGATCAATATAGGAGGGGATCGTACATGCATGTTACGCTATGGACTTACTTAGATGAGATTAATTCTGCCGCATGCCTGCCAAAAAAAGCATGAGCAGTTGAATGCTCGGCCCCCATCTGCACATCAAGGCTCCTCAACAGATGGACCCTCGCTTCCAGAGGGAGGAGAGACTTAACCTTGCTCCCTCCTTCCTCTTTCTCACTACTATTGCGCCTTTCTCCTCGTAAATTACTCTCCTCTTTGCCATGTTGTTAGAAATGAAGCCCACATAAACACAGTATGACCCAGAGAAAACACATCATGCTTTTAGATTCTCTAATGTGTTCCCTTTCTACAAAGTGGAAACAAGCATTATGTCCACATGAGTAATGGAGTCTGCGTTGTTTTATTTAAGATACTACAGCTGCTATCAGGAGGACTTGGAGCTCTACTCTTACGATGCTCACAGACTGACCCCTGAACTCTGTTTGCCCTTTTCAGCGAAAGCCTGATGGACACATTGAGGGCTGTAGGAATTGCTACAAGCGCTGAGATGACTATCTTTGATATGGAAGCTTTTTTTTTGTTGCTTTCCCCCTCTCTTTTCACTGACAGTCCTCGCAGCTACGCAAATACACTTCCCTGGCCGCAGGGGGCTGATGGAGAAGAACAACAGAGCTGCACTCACCCAAGTCTGTGTAATGTGATTTGCAGAACTGCTTTTGTCCGCCAAAGCACAGCTCGAACTGAGGCTCGTTTAACCGGCGTAAGGTGTGTCCGTTCTCAAGGGCGGCAAAGGCGTCACAAGTGTAGCGGTAGGTGATGAAGCCAAAATTGTCCCTGGTGAAGAAGAAGAGGGGAAAATGAAACGTCAGAGCGGTGCTGTGGGGCAACAATAACTGAGCCTTGTGTTCTATCACGATGGCGCTATTTATATGCAAAAGAGAATCAATAAAAGTGTATCTTTGGGGCTCCATAGGGTAAGAAGTAGATGGATCGTTGTCTTACACTTGCCTTTTCGCAACATAATTGAATTACCTCCCTTCCCAAGCAACACACACACACACACACAACACCACACACACACACACACACACACACACACACACACACACACACACACACACACACACACACACACACCCACACACACACACACACACACACACACACACACACACACACACACACCACACAACAAGACACACACCACACACACACACCACACACACACCACACACACACACCCACACACACACACACTAGACCCACACATTCCCTGGGCTCTTACCCATCGTCCCTCAGGTTTCACTGCACATTCTTCAATTTCGCCAGAGACTTCAAAGCGGCGCTTCAACTCTGTGCGGGTGCAGTCGGACCTCAGTCGCCCCACGTACACCACCCTTCTCTCCTCCTTCTCTTTAAGAGGGAAGACAGAATGGAGGGAAGGAGATTAACAAAAGGGGGAGTGTTGTTTTTCCTCTCCCTTCTCTTTCTTCACCCCTGCTCTAATGAATTGGTCTTGATCACTCCTGTGGATACGGCCGCTGACTCTCGGCCCTTTTTCTGTCCCCTCTCCTCCGCTTCCTGTTATTTGATAGAGCTGCACTCTGCCTTCAGTCTGCCTTGGCACTACAATTCCTCTTTCTCTCCGCAACTCATCAACCAGAGGCGGGAGTGATTTTTATCAAATGATGCCATGTCTTAAAAGTTACTGCTTCTGCTTTTGTGAAAGTCTAAAAATAAAAAGCTGTGAGGTGACTCAGCCAAGTCTGTTTTCTTCCTCACAATGCACAGCAAACAGGGCACGGTCAGTTCATTTTTAGGGATATTCTAAGAGCAGCAGCGAGCCACGGGGCAAAGGAACATCCAACCTCAAGAGGACGCAGGGGTCATAGCGGAATCATTTAGGAACAAACTGCACCGGGCTGCAATTATGGCCTTTGAGTAGTTTAATTGCATCTGCTAATCATATAATGCAGCCAAGCCTGGGGCTATAGTGCAGCAATAGTATTATTTATTTATAAGGAGCAAGTCCATTGAGGCCCGTTGAAATTGTCAATGCTGCCTTGAGGCTAAGATGTATGTAAATCAGTTACATGCTGCTAAACTGCTGAGTCCACCTTTGCCCTGTTGGACTTCTATAAAGCAGAGAAAAGATACAGATTAACCACAGATGACTGTTTTTATGCTTTCTTTCCACTCGCATTAATGCTTACATATACTATTCGAGACAAAAAAAAGCTTTTGCTGAATTAGTGGTTTAGTTGCTGACAGCTGATAAATAGGCGGTCTTCTCTTGATGGCACCCTGAGGGCTGCTGTGTGTGAGTGAGTGAGTGAGACAGACGGAGACCAAACCCGGTTTGACAGCTCGAGCCTCAGCGCTTGTAATTGTTCGCGTCTCTAAAAAACGTGTGCATGCCAAGCAACGTTTGCATTACTGCTTAATTTAATGTGTGCTTTATCAACGGGTGGTAGTGGCGCTCCCCCGGTTGGAAACCTGAGTCATCTCACACTGAGACATGGAGAGCGGCGATACGGCAGAAATGTGATATCCACTGCGGAATTTTGAAATAGATACAGGAGAAGGAAGAGAGAATCAGTGACCGTTTGTTTTGTTCTTTCCTCCGTTTTGCTCTCCCAGTTTCTGTTTTCCACTATTTTAAACATTTTACCCCTGTGGTGTGATTAATAAGAGTCGACAGTGTTTCCAGGCGTTAAAAATACAAAACCCTGAGATATGAGGAAGGGCCTGTCGCCTGAATCATTCAGGAACTCACTTTGTATGAATTCTTTCAGCAGAGACTGTGGCACTGGGCTGCAGGCTGTCTCATCCTCTAATGTGTGTGTGTGTGTGTGTGTGTGTGTGTGTGTGTGTGTGTGTGTGTGTGTGTGTGTGTGTGTGTGTGTGTGTGTGTGTGTGTGTGTGTGTGTGTGTGTGTGTGTGTGTGTGTGTGTGTGTGTGTGTGTGTGTGTGTGTGTGTGTGTGCAGGAGCTTCTGCATGAGCCACAGCACTGTGTGCATGTAGCCTTTTATCAGCAGGAACAATGTTTAGTCGTTTGTGTGCTACTGGCGGTCATTTTAAAGATTGATTAATCAAATGATTGTCTTGTTTCTCAAGGTCTTTCAGTGTATTGTTTTGTCAGTATAACCCAAAGACTTTGATATGATGAGAAAAGCAGCAGATCTCCATATTGGATAGGCTGAAGCAGCATTTTCTGACATTTTTCAAGAGTTAAGAACTGATCAATAATTAAAAATAATTGATTATATTTATATCAGTGGTCTCAGAGTGGAGATCTTAGTGTCAGTGGACTCACTATTGCTTTTTGCTTCTGCCTCTCTCTCTGTTCGGCCCTTTCAAACTCCCGCTTCTCGTAGTCCCGGCGGTACTCCTCCCTCTTCAGCCGCTCGTGCTGGTACTCCTCGTAGCTGTCATACCTGGGGGAGGAAAAGGCAGGCGTATCACATCACTCGTCCTCTGGATTCACCCTTCCTGTTTGACGACTGCGAAAAACAATTGCCAGTATTCACAGAGGAGCAGTCTTTCTATTTCCTCCCCACTGATGGTGGAGAGTTTCAAAGAAAAAGGAAATGGACATAAGACGTCCCTATCGTCATCGCTATGATTGCGACGCCCGCAGGAGAAGGCCTGCGGGAGGGCGGCGCTGAGGGGGTTGTGCAGGCAGCTGCAACTGTCAGCACAACTTCACATGTCATTACTTTCTGCTTAGTTAGGGCTTCATCAAGAAGGAGAGGAGAAAAGAGTACAACTTTTCTCCTTCTCCCTCACACCAGACACAAGACGTGTCCGTTTTTAAATGACGAGAGACTCTTTGGCTTGTCGGGTGCCATTAGGCCCGCGGGTGCCAAATCAGCTCGGAGCGCTGGAATGATGTCAGTCTCTCTCTGCACAGTGACAGCACCTCTCTCTGCATAAGAGAGGCTCCTCTGCAGACTACAGAGGAGTTGAATAGGCGTCATTATACAGCTGGGAGCTCACAAGTGAAGTATGAATGTGGGATTTTTCGTCACTAAACCAATACAATTATCAATTAAACATATTTGCCCTGAATTTTGTTGCAGGCCCCTGTGGAAGCGAGGCTTTGAAAAGGCTGTAGTCTGATGTGAAAAGGGAAATCAAACTATTTCTGACTATTTCACTGCATGTGTCTTTTATAATTTATTGTGAACTATACTGATATCTCAGTAAGAAAGAGCATTTTAGCACCAATTTCAATATTTGCTCTTTTTCACTGCATGCACAGCCCAGAATTATGAAGAGACCATCTTTCTGGTGTTGAAATCCTTCGTTAAATAATTCATTTTAAAGGCTCACCTTGGCCTGCGGCTGAGAGGGGAGCGAGCCTGAGGGTGGGGGCTCTTCTGAGTCCTGGAACGAAAGGTGCTTGCATCTGTGTTGTGACGAGACCTGTGGGAAAACACAAAATGTTAAATACGATGATATTATTTTCTGCAACACCTAGGAATGCTTGTTCATTTAAAACATTTGAAAAAAACTACTTTGAATGAATCACTGTGCATACTGAGTGACATCTTGGATAATTTGTTTTTGGCTTTGGGAACTAAATTAACCTCTTTGATATTCACAGAGCCATTTGGATGTTAGAAACTGTTAATTCCAGATAAAAAGCGTTCTGTAGTTTCCTAATATCGCTCCTGGCCACATTAAGAGTGCATGAGTTACTTCTGCTGAACTTTTGTACACACCTAAACTAGCACATACATGCAGCTGCTATCTATGTTGTATGAGGAAATGGTCAATAGCATCAGCCCCAGTGACCTGAATGTGGAGCTTTAAGCTTCTGATGCTTAATTATTGAAGTGTTGCTGAAGGAGGAAGAGCCAACTGATGGGGGGGAGAGGAGTTTGGGAAGCTCAGTGAAGCAAAGGAGTGCAAGTTTGGAACGATCAAGCATCGTAGGCAGTGGAAACTTAAAACAGAGAGGAGTAGAAATGCTTTGCTGAAAATCTGTCCTTGCATGAAATAATAATACACTTCTTGTTCTGTCGCTTTCTAGACTTCAATACCTACACAGCGAAAGCTTGTCAGATTCTGATGGAGGGGCCTTGAGACTATTACTGTATAATTTGTGAGTTGGTGCAGGGCAAAGTGATTCTACCGGCTCCCTGGAGTAAACTGACCTTTAAGTAATCAGACAAACAAACTGCAGTGGAGTCACTCAGCGAACCTCCACTGACAAACTTCATTTACTCACATCCTCTTCAATAACTTTGCCTCTGTTCCTCCATCAAAGAAACCCCCTCAGCTCTGATCAAAAGGAAGCATGGGAAATGTAGTTCTCACACGGCGCTATGATGATAGCAGCGTCTTTAGAGAGGGGTGTTGAGACTACACTCCCACAGCCTGGCTTCGGCTTTCATCTCTGGGGGTTTGAAAGAGGAGGCTTTGCCACTCAGTAAAAACAACAGCTGCCGCTTAAAACAATAGCCCCGGCATCAAACAAGAAGCAGGAGCGTGTGGGGGGAGTGAGTGAGGAGGGAGAGTGTTAGGAAGACACTCAAATAAAATCTCCCTGCCTAGAGATTCAAACTCAGACTTTTCAAAAGTCCAGTGCCTCTGGCATGTTTTCTGCTCTGGGTCTCTTATTTGTTGGCTCATTGATTAGAGAGAAAGCAACAGTCAATAAATTGTTTTTCCCCAAACGTCACTTAAGAGACATTTATGTGCCATCTGATTTAAAAAGGTGGGTTTAACAAATGAAAACAATTTGGTTAAAACCCATCCCACCTCCAGCCTGGACTCCCATTTAGCCGCTCCCATAATATACTTCATTTTCAATTTAGGAAAACATGGTATTCTCACACAGATGGTGCTCCCTTTTGATGTTTCATAAACATATTTCCAATGAAACCCCATGAAAGTCTGTGTAGGCATGAGTTTGAATGTATTGAGATGTTGTCTTGTGTGGAATCATTTCGTTTTCTTCAAGTTGTATTTTGTTGGACGAACGCGCTTATTGTAAGTCGCTTTGGATAAAAGCGTCAGCTAAATGCAATGTAATGTAATGTAATGTAATTTCATGTCATTGTTTATTTGAAGAGGGACAATGCATATTGATGAACATTTAAAACAAATAATGCTTTAAAACGTAAACATGCCGGATTTTAGCTTTGAGCTAATTTCCATCCGTAATCCCTCACATACAACATTCAAAAGTCAATGGTGACTTTTTTGTATTTACATCATTATTTTAAGAAGTCTAACACGCGTCGTTACTTTAGGCCAAACCCTGATCTGTTTTTCCACTGTAATCTGGGAGAAAATACGCTTTCCTCGAAACACAATAGAGAATCTGCAGGAGACAGGTTTGCTATTTCACCTGTTAAATCTTTTTACTAGCCAAATGTATTCTGCCTTTAGTTCAGGCGAGGTACAGACTAGCAGGAGGTCAGGGGCCCCCGCTGAGAGTCTCCGGGGTCTCTCCTGTCCGACACCAGCTCTGACGACTGATCAGGCCTGTTTTACACTCCGGAGCCAGATCCCCCGCCAGGGCCAAGCCTGAATAAACTGCTTGGGTGGCTCAGCCAAAGGAAGCAGGAGGTGTGTGTGGTGTGTGTGTGGTGTGTGGGGGGAAGGGGGTGTGTGAGCAACAACATACCAGGAGGAGGGGCGTCTGTCAGGTGAGCTGGAGAGGGAGCGCCTCCGGTAGTGCGAGGAGGAGCTGTGGGAGCGGGAACGGGAACGGGACCCGCTGCTGGTCCAGAAACGCCTGCTGGGCGACTGGAGGAGGGAGGAGGGGGGGGGAGACGGAGCCTCGAGAGGGGGAACAACTGGACCGTGGGGAGCAGGAGGGGGAGCAGGGGGGGCAGTCAAAAAGGAGGTCCAGAGGAGTGCCCTCCCACGGATACAGGAAGCGGCTCTCGCGGGTCTCCCCCAGATCGAGGTCGTCCTGGAAGGGCAGGATCGGGTACCCTGACTCCCCCCCCTTAGGGGTCTGAGGGGCCGCAGCCTTACTTGGTTTGGCTTCTCTCTCCTGGCCCCCCGGGATATGAAAGGCTTTTAAGGGGGGGCCAAAATGCTTGTTGAGTTCTGCTCTGATGTCCTGGTCTTGCAGGAGCTTCCGGCTGATGGCAGAGCAGTGGAGTTGGTCCCAGTCAATGGGGGCCTCCTGTGGGGGGCTCTGGGGGGTCTGTTTGAGGGTCTGCTCCTTAACATTCGCCAGGGAAGCAGATAAAGCTGATGATGGAGGAGGTGGAGATGATGAAGAGGATGGAGGCATGGCTGAGTCCTTACATTCGACACGCCCGTTCTCCACGCTGCCTGCGGGAAGCACGGAAGGCGCAGTGGGGGCACCTAAGGTGACCGCTGATGTAGTCATGGCAACAGTGGCTGTGCCGCTGTCCTTCTTAGCGCTAGCTTGGCAATAGTCATGGTCGCTGTAGCTGCGAGGCGCCGCCCGCTTAATGCTGCGACGTTCCTCAGGGCCGCCCCCCAAAGTGTGTTGGGTGACTGAGTAGGGTGGGGCGGTGGACGCTTTGCTCAGCTGGGCATAAAGCTCAGACTGCTCAGGACCCTTCCTGGAGGGGCCCCCACCTGAGGCACATGGGGCCGGAGCCAGAGCGCCGGGGCCCAATTCGCTCAGCCTGGCTCTTTTGCACGCCAAGGCCGATGAGGAACATGAAGACAACTTGGTTTTGAGCGATGCTTTGAAAGGATTCTCTTGACTGGCTTTGTGTGGGGGCGTGGTAGGTGGTGTCAGACCTGCAGAGGGGAGGGGGAAACACAGAGGTTGGTTGAGGGTGGGGGCAGTAAAATGCAAATGGGATCATAATGCAAAACCTCCACAAATATCCCCCTTCTCCCCCCCTTCCGCTTACCCATCCATAAACTCACAGGTCGGTTTATGGACAGTGGACACAGAAACATGGCTGATTAAAATATTCACTTTCACTTGGCCTAATCCTGATCTCTATTTTATTGCAATCTTGACAGATTAATGTAATGCTTGGTGTAACTTAATACGGTGGAGCTGTAATACGGATGACTTGCCACCCCCTTCCTCTCTGACCTTGGAAAGATCCTTTTTCATGGAAAAAATAAATAAATAACACAAAAGCCTGCAGAGGACAAAGGTAATGCACCTGATGGAAATAATTTAAGCACATGTATCATATCTCTGCCCGCTGCACATAAATGTCTGCAATGGACGGCAGCCAATTCACCTGAATAAAATCAAAGGACCTCTTTGAACTGCCGGAAAAAATGATCACTGACATGATGTCTCGCACGTGTCAAGATTATCCAGAAGCATCTCTGTGTAACAATATAAGACATGCCTCTGAATGTTAGCATGGCTGCTGATGTCGAGACGGGTTGTCGTTCTTCTCAGATGGCATATGCCCCTACTGCCTGTGCCCCCCCCCATCTTTCCCCAGCATCCTACAGATTTACAGCCAGGCAGATGGCAGTTATATGGGAAGTCCTGAGATGAGCCCACTTTATAGCATTGTTAATGCACTCACACAAACAGCCGCCGCCATTACTCTCCCCCTCTTTCCTTCTTCTTCCCTAGTCCTGTGTTCTCCACTTTTTCTGTCTGCCATCATCCCTGGATCAATCTCTATTTCTCTCTCTGCATCCTATCCTGTTTCCGCCTCGCACAGATGCAATAAATGTGCCCACACACACACACAATCTCGTCACTAACAGTCTCTCACTGGAGTCAAGCTCAGGCACTTTGAAACACCTACGCTCTCCCCTCTTCTTTGCCTTTCTTATAATGCACATCACTCTCCCCTTGCTGGAGAATTGCACCAAATGACAGCTATTAGTATCAAATCCAGTGTTAGAGTATGCACGGAGACGACAGCTCGGCAACGAGAGTGGGGGAGCCTGATGCATAAATATGCAAGTTTCTGAAGCCACTTGCTGTGTTTGGAATGCCTGATCCAACAGCTTATCATCCTACTTGTTATCCGGATGTGTCTGTAACGCCCTCGCTCCCCTCTCTCCCCGCTTTCTCTGAGTGATATAGACACATGTATATATGCATTATGCCAATGAGCAGGAGCAGGGAGAGAGGAAGGAGAGGCTACACAATGCCTGAAGAACTTCTGTTTCACCAATGAAGCGCCATCTGTCCAGAATAATATGCGCGTGGGGTCATAAACTAGAAGCCATTAGCGGCGGGGGTGAAATAAATCAGAATTAGATAAATATGTGCCTCTCAGTCAAACTTGCTGGTGATGGATGAGCCGCAGACACAAACACCAATCATGTCGATAAAAAAAAAAAAAACATGAAGCGAGTCAACGAGACGGAGAGGAAGGAGGAGGGTTTTATAGTCATTTTTTTTCTCGTCCAGCTGTAAATTGCAAGGAGACCTCGGAGCGAATAACAACTGCGTGCTTAAAGAGTTGATCCGGCAGTAAGCCATGCAAATAGCAACACACAGACCACCCAGTGCCATGAGATACAGTAATTAAAGACAACACGGCTGCACAGGGTAAATCTATTAGCTTGGCAGAGATTAGGCCACAACAGTCAGATCCCTGGGGGCCCCGCTGCCTGTTGTAGCCTTCACTGCACTCCTCTAGTATCAGGAAACAGAGCTATGATCCTGTCCTACCAAAGTCTGGCAGCTGTTTTAGGCAAAGTCCTGGGAAAAAAACTAAATTGTATGAAATAAATTCAGAAATCATTGCAGACACCTGGCTGGTCGGATTGGGCAGAGATTCAAACTCTATCGAGAAAGGTCCAAAGGTTGGTTTAGTATTAGATTTGGCTCACCCCATATCAAATGTTCCATGTAGTAACAGCTACTACTACAACTCATCATAAAGGCATTAAATAAATATGCTCGTGTCAGCATTTCGTGGAAAGTTCAGTGAGTTGCCGACCTGACTTGAAGGTGAAGGAGGGCACAGTGGCCCAACTCTTATGTGGTTATCAGAAACACCACTATAATCTTTATTGTAGGTATGATACTGTAATTCTGCAAAAAGCATGTAACTCCAGACCTCAGAGCTCACTGGGATCTATATCCATCTGTCTCTGCAGCACCACACTCTAATCCCTGAGCAGGAGAGGGGCTCTGGACTAATAACTACCCACCACTAATATTCAATCCGTAATTTGCTTAAAGTCAGTTGAAGGTGCTTTGTTGGCGCGTGCTTGTAAAAACCAGTGGAACAGAACGGACGCAAAGACTTGGCCACAGGTCAATAAACTCAGCCACGTGCAGTAAAACAGAAAGAAATATTAACCGTGCTTGATTGCCCCAGAGTTTAAGCAGCCATACTCTTCCCCTTCTTCAGGTCTCAACAGGCCTGACCTTTGACCCCCAAAGCTTATCTACACAAAAGGGCTAAACTGCACAAGGTCAGAGGGACAGGGGGTCTGATGTGCAACAATGTCCATATCACACGGGAGATAAGTAGAAGGTGCAGGGGGCAAACATGAGGTATGTATGAAGGACGTTTCCCCTGCTGGTAAATGAATACCTAAACACAGTGCGAGAGGCTAAAAGGGCAGCCCTTTTTGTTTCTATTCACCTTTGATCAGCGATTCTCAAACACTATGCCAAAAAGTTTAGATTCAATAAAAAGTTGATAATTTGCAATTACAAGAATTCACACAACCAGACATTTTGAAATCAAAATGCTACTGAACATTATAAGCTAGCTAATGTTTCCTGAGATGCAGTAACAAGGACAAATAAAGACAATCTAAGCATATAAAAGCCCCAAAGCATGTGGTAAGGAAATATGACACTGAATATGTTCTGCATTTGGATTCAAGCAAAGTGTTTTGAATGTGGTGAAATGCTGACATTAGGCGCTAAAATCATCAAATCACCAAAAAACACCAACAAATATTCGCCAAGGCAAAGAGCACAGCAGAAAATCATTACACCCTCTTTTATTGATCATAATTATCTTTTCCCTATGGCTTTTTGATTAATCATAACTAAATGCCTCAAAAGGATGATGTCAATAATGATTTTGAAGAAAACCTTACATTGACTACATTTACAGAAACACTTTGAACGTCCTAACATTGGTAAGTGACTCCCCGGTCAGCTGATCTAATTGCCTGCATGTCTGGGGACCGAAGGAAAGGACGGCGCAGATCATACGGGCAAAACTGAATTACACCGCAAAACCAATTAAAACAATAACAGTGCCATTTCAATTTTTCTATGATGTGTAGGCTAAGTAAGCTGTCAGTCAGAGTGCATTAGGATCTGATAGAGGAAGAGGTAAAGCGTATTAACTCTTGAGTAACAGGCGAAAGGAGGGGAGGGGTTCGCTAATAAACCCTGAGGAGATTGGAAAGCCTAATCAATACTCAGGCACATAAAACTGTTCTGCTGTGCCTTCACCTTGAACTCTGAACTGTGAAGGAACTAGATCAAGTTAATCCATTACTAGCCACAACTGGGAGCTGAGAGTTTTTTATTTAATAAAAACTATGTGTGTTTTAAGATGATCAGAAACATGTGCTTACCTGGGGTTCCAGCAATCTCCACACTTAATGTGCGTTCAATGGTTTTGTTCTCAAACGGTGATCCCTTGTGGTCACTGCAAGACAAAAACAAATGGCAACACATTTTACTTCTCAGGTGAAAAAAAGACTTTGAAACGTTTTTGTGATTTAAGAAATGGAAATGAGTCACAAATGCCTCAACTTGGATTATAGTCTGTCTAATTTCCTTCCTTTTTTTTCTCTGTAGTTGGTTGTTGTTTAACCCTAGAATAATGTGGAAAAACTTCTCAAACTTACTTTGGAGACTCTGGGGTCAAAGGAAGTGGCAAGGTGGTTGGTTTGGCTGCAGAACACAAAGGAGCATGGGTAATTATTGACCTGGGTATAACACTCAAGGCAGAAGAGAACAGGTCCACATTCTGCAACAATTAATTTTAAAATGTCTTAATAAATGCAATTATTGCTAGAAAAACACCCATACCTGGTTAGAAAGTATATTTTAAATATTGTATATTTTTATAATTGACCCCGTTTTAACAATAAATTGTCTAAAGTTAGACTGTCCACTCTGTGAGGCAGGATGAAGTGATGGTACATTGTTGTATCCCCACTCAGGACAACAAACATATCGAAATGGAATAAAGACATAAAGAGACGATGCCACAAACAAGACACATGACAGTGGGTGAGCCCCTCTCTGGACAAAAAATAATCGCATGCACCAACAGCAGAAGAGGGGAAAAAAGAAGGGAGAAAGGAGAGTCAAGGAAGCTTGTGCAGTTGCCCGAGGCTCTGGCCGACTCGTGCTCCAGCTAAGGGAACGTGGCTTTAGTAGCACGACGCTAAAGAGTAGCACCCGGGCTCTGAGTCTAAATGTACAGCACACTCAGCTCAATCAGCCAAAGAAGGGTTCAAGGGTCCACTTCATGAATACAAGATGTACAGTAGCAAGACATGGCTCGCCCCTTTTCCCACCCCTTCCTTTTTGAAATTTAAATTGTAAATGCCTTCGGGACTAGCAGGAAGCAGTGGCTAGCAGGCTGTTTGTCGTCACTGTTCACGCCCCCAGAATGACTGTTAGATTCGAATTAGAGTAGGGGTTAGTTGTGAAGTCAAACTGGGAAGTGGTTAAAGCAGGAGAGGGAGAAGAGAGAGCAGAGATAAGGCCAGTTGGGGGGATGCAGTCATGATTACCTAACAACGGGAGGCCCTGGTCGTCGGGGTGCTCGCTGAGTGCCTGCCTGTGTGGGGGCACTTGGCCATGTGAGAGGCAGGGGAGGGCTGGCACTGCAATTCTATTATTTGGGATAGTAGCAGTGCTGCCCATGACATCATCATCATCATCAACATCATCATCATCATCATGGTCAACATCCTCCCCATAGGGCCCCTGGTTTAGCCACCCGAGCTCTAGTCCAAAGTCTAGCCCCGAGTCTGGCTGGTAAACCCAGCTCTCTAAACCTAAGGGCGGGGGTCCAACCTGGGACCCTGAGTCAGGCTCTTCAAGCTGACTTACTTCCCGCTTTCTACTATCAGCGGCTCCTCCCAACTCCCGCTCCTCCTGCACCTTTGAGGGAGCCTGCGCTGGGGTCCTACCTGCTGACCTGCTCTGAATGCTGGGTAAAGGGGTGATCTGAGGTGGGGGTATGTGGACTTTATACTGAGCAGGCCTGTGTTTGGAGGTGAGCAGCTGGCTAAGCAAAGGGTGCCCCGGCTTCTCATCTCTTTTCTTAATAGTCACTGTGATGTGCCTATGGCCGGCCACGCTACTGTTTCTACGGCCTCTAGCCTGAGTGGCGCCCGCAGCCTCTCGGCAATGCTCACAGCTGTGACTCGCCTCTCGGGGAGGGAGGGAATAAGAATGCATATACCTAATAAACCTAGCCAGGCGGCCCACATCGCCTGGCGGCCTTCCTTCTTCACCGTGCTCCTGGCAGCAGGCGTAGCTGACAGGGATAGAAGCACCCTCCGACTCCTTAACCCCGTCATCGTGAGAGCAACGCTGCCACTTCCCAGCCCCAACACCAGCCACACTACACCTGCCTGCAGCCCGGCTCTCACCTCGCTGCTGCGGCGGCTGCTGCTGCGGCGGCTGCTGCTGCGGCTGCTGCTGCGGAGACGGTACGGCCAACTTCTTCTTGGAGGTGGTGGACGAACAGGTGGAAGAGACGGAGGAGAGGGAGGAGAACGAGGAGGTGGATGACGAGGACGGCGAAGAGGAAGAGGAAGAGGCACCGAGACCCAGGCCACCCTTCTCCCTGCTGCCCGCACCACCCCAGGTGCTCTTGGCGTCGCTGGCTTTGGTGTGGAGCAGGATGTCATCGGTGGCGGTCAGGTACTTCAGCAGCTCCGTGCAGGGCCGCCTCACCGGGCGGTTCTGTTGGCTGGAGCCCCCCCTCGCTTTGCCATTCCAGGGGCTCTCCGTCTGCAGACAGAGATGGACAATTATTTACTTTGCTTAAAGGTCACTTATTATGCAAAATCCACTTTGTCATGTATTTTATACATCAACATGTGTCCCCTCTGTGTAAAGAGATTCAGAAAGTTTCAGGAAAAAATATTTGCTCTCTTTTTGTCCTGATCCATTTCTATAAAAACCTGTCTGGAAATGAGCTGATCAGATTTTGGCCACTTTATGACATCATAACGATTTTTTAGCTTGTGTAACCATTAGCCAATCACCAACCAAGGTATCCCCCCCCCCCCCCCCCCCTTATCACCTGAATCTCCTCCTAGAGCACCATTGTGTTGTTTTTAACCAAATATCTATCTGAGACCTATTATATATTGGTGAAAGACAGTATTAAGGGGACCTTTAATAAAAAGTTAGTGCGTGCAGCTTGTTTATGTTATTTTTTATTTGGCACAAGAATAAGAGAGAGGGGGCCTAAAGCCAGAGCACAGTGGATGCCCGACTGTCTAGGAGAAGATGTCGGGGGTGCTGTCCGCCCATCATCTTAATTGCGTGGCCCTGCGAGCACCACCGCGCCACTCTGTACGCGCACCATGTCCTCTGGGAGTACTCATTCGCTGTGCTCCAGAAATGGATGACTCAAAGGCACGGTATGAAAATAGACTATGTGAGGAAGGTTGACGCACTGCATGTGCAAACATAGTATGCGTAACACACACAAATCTGTGTCTGCCACACAATGTGATCACATACAGATGCTTATATCATTCAGAGGAATTCTAAGCACCAGGGAAAGCATAAAGCAAATAGAGCTTTTCTTCCTAAACGAGCAAATTAAGTATATGACAGTGAACATACAGATTGTCACGTTCTGACATGAAACAGATTCACATACATTATGTATTCACATGCATTGAACTTACACCGACTAAAAGTGATTTGAATCAAATCCACCCCTTTGGAAAAAAACAACTTTGAGAGCCGTCTAATGAGAACATCAAGTCTGATATTTTGATCTTCTCTTCTCAAGGCATCAATCTCTCCCACAAGAGCGCCTGTCGGTTTTTTTTTTTTTTCAACAGGCACCATACCAAGGCGGATAAGTGGTGGAGCTAATGAGACAACGGTGCTGATGCCTCGTCTGGAAAGCCCAACAGCAATCAGCCTGTTTTCATTACGGGATGCCCCCCTGGGACGGAAGACTAGAGCAGTAGTCTTCTAAAGGCGGCCACCAAAACAAGAAAAAGTGGGAGATGGAGCAAGAAACCAGACAGAGCAAGAACAGAGAGAGGGATAAACAAACAAGAAGTGGGAGAACAGGAGTGAAAAAGCAGCAAGGCAGTGCGTGTATTTGTGTGTGTGTGCGTGTGTGTGTGTGTGTGTGTGTGTGTGTGTGTGTGTGTGTGTGTGTGTGTGTGTGTGTGTGTGTGTGTGTGTGTGTGTGTGTGTGTGTGTGTGTGTGTGTGTGTGTGTGTGTCTACCTTGACGACGGCAGGTGGTGGTCTGATCCGGTGGTTGCTGCTGGCTGCATGGTTCTGTGCCTTGCCACCTGTGTATTGATTATAGCTGAGCTGGGAGTTTGCGGGTGCCAGAAGGAGCTTCTTCAGCTGCGAACGGACCCAAACAGAACAAGGGAAAGTGGTGAAGGCGGGGGAATTGAGCGTGGGTTATGCAAATTACCATTTTCTTTCAATTAGACAGCCTGCGCTTTGTAAATGTACAACCAGAAGAGACCAGTACTGCGAGATAAAATCACTGACAAGATAAGATTAGAGATATTTAAGCGGTGTTGTGGCATGTGACTGAGCCTTTGGAGTTTTTTTGTTTTCCCTGTACAGGTGTTTTTGTATACACACAGCCAGGCCTCTCAATGTGATTGAATAAACACACACAGGCACGTGGCTAAAGGTCATTTGGAAGGGACCGGCATGGAATATAACTGAACATAACACAAAATGTAAGGTCAAAAGCAGTTTAAACGCCCAGATGGCGTACAAAGAATATCACAAAGGTAAGCCGACTTCTCATGTAGAAGCCCTTTGTAATGCCTGAAGAGACGACTCAGACGATATGAGATGGATTTATTGCGCCTCTTAGTTTCATTCTGTTTGATTTCAGGTCCTGTGGCACTGTGTCAACCGGAGTTGGCCCCACCACAGTGTTAATATCATTGAAATGGCACCACAAAAGCACTGTTATGTAATTATCACTGAGCGGCAAACACACTGATCCATTTCCTCTCCTCCTCAATGCATCTGCAGAACATTAATTTGACCGTAATTAGAGTTTTTAGTTGAAATGAATTGTAATTTTAAAGTTATGCTGATAAATGTGCTGGTATTCGTATTTCATACACGTGTACTTTGATCTGTTTCATAATTGTTAGTGCGATGGAGACGATGTAATATTTGAAGTGTTTGTTTTGTGTGTTCCTGCCAAGGGACTGCAAATGGAAATGAGCTAATGGCTAAATGTAGCATTAATCATCTCTGTTTCCTTTTAGATTATTGTATTTTTATGCGTGGCCCTTGTTTAATGGAGATATAAATAATACAAATCTGCGTCTCTGCACACTCTCACTACACATGCAGGGAACATACTGTGGCAAATGTGGCGAGTGTGGATTGGGCAGAGCCAGAAACAGAAGTCTGACAGACTAACTAACGGTGCCATTTTTCTGGTGCCCAGGCTTGTTAAAGAGTCTTATCTGGTGTCTGCCATGGACTGGCACAAACAAGCAACAGTTTGTGCAGGATTGGGGGTCATGTCTTTATGAGTTGACCCGGGAGTGGTGCTGATGGGAGTCTCTGGGGGAGGAGAAGCTGCTGGTCTTACCAGGGAAGGCTCCTCGGGCTCTGGGGTGCGTGGCGAGCCGTCGGGGGAGGAGGGACAGCTCCGGTCACTGGCATTGGTCACGTCCCCATCTGCCAGGGCCTCAAACGAAGGCAATCCGTCCTCATCCACCGGGATGCTGTCCAGGGTCTCTGTAAGCACTGCCAGCAAGTTGGCCTCATTTTCTTCATCTATCTTCTTGAGGCGGAGGGGAAGGGGGTAGACAGAAAAATAGAGAGACAAGAAAAATAGGACATTTTAGTCAGGAGAAGTAGAAGTTAAGGTGGCGGATGCATGCAGGCTCTCATTGTTAATAGAGTGGGAAGATTTTTCTCTCAATTTTTTGCAGCAGCAGAGCAGGCGCTATTTTGGCAGCCTTTTAAAAACAAATTCTCTCCCTGTGCAACTGAGTCAAGCCTGTCACTCATATTTTAAGCATGCAGCTTACTGGACCAAAATAATATCTCCCGCAAGAAACCCATTACCAGGGCTGACAAGTAGCAAGTATCTAGGGAAGACAGGAATGGGTCGGGGTGCGTCGCAGCATGCAGGGGTGTGGGGGTAAAAGAAACAATGAGTGGCAGTCCTCTTCCTCTCTCTCCCCACAGAGGGACGATCGGCTTGCCGACAAGATGTTTGCGAGCAATCCTCAGATAAGGCGTATTACCACACGCTAATGCTAAATAAATGCGATATATTTAAAATGTTGGCATGACAGCTGATGCTCACAATGGGCGGGGAGTTGCCATCAACATTTCATGAAAAATAAAGCTTGTTCTTGTTCACTCTGCTCCTCTTTGATGTAGCAGAGGAGTTGTGTGTTTGCTGCATCTGGCTGTTTATGGTGGAGATTATAACAGCGTGAGAAATGAAGAGACAGAGAGATGAATTCATGGAGATGGAAAGTGAGAGTTAAGGAGATGTCAGCTGCCAACTATTGACATCGGAGGTTTGCTTGGGATAACAACTACGCATGTTTGTAGAGAAATAAACAAGAAATGACAGAAAATATATTTAAAGTGAGAGGAACGCAGCTTTTTTAAGTGTGTGTGATGTTGCCTTTGCACAGTGACAAGAGGAACTGTTAGTTCCAGGGCCATAAAAGCCCGGGGGACTTTAAGACAGCGGAAAGATAAACAGCGTCGCCACCTCGGGAGGTTCTGTGGCCAGCCCAACAAGAACAATCCCTTTATGCACACGGCGGGATTATCGTCGCTCTGAGACGGCGTGTGGCCTTCATTATGCCGAAGGGGCCGCCAACCCCTCAGATACCAGCACAAAATCCTAGAAGACCCTGAGCCCCACATGCACAACAATAACCCACCCACTTGTTTCTGTCTACCACACTGATTCAACATAATTACACACCCACCACGGATGGCAATTCAGGAGCAGGTCTGGATTTACCAATGAGATAGTGGACATTTAAATGCCCCCCCCTCCCCTCTAATTTTCATTTATAGATGACACAGATATTAGACGTTCAGTTAGCTAGCTAACAGTGAGGAAAACGCTAATCTGATGTTCATTGAGTAGATTTTCTCCTAACAACATGAGCACTCAGTCATTATTAAAAAATGATAAAGGGGACATATTTCACAGAGATAACACAACGTTGACTGGGGCCATAGCGCATTGGCAGGCAAATGCCTTGCAGGAAATTGCTCTGTATGAGGTGGCATGCTGTTTAATTACTTGCAAGAAGCTTCAAATCCACTGTGCTGGAACCCTATGCTCCTGAAATGCTTCCCATTTTCAGCATCCAGAGTTATTACCTGAGCACTAAGCGGGTAGGTATTACCGCTGATAAAGCCGCAGCCTTTTCTTAGCCCAAACATATATCCTTGCATGGGAAATTGAAAGCAGGATCATTTCAGATTATCACAAATGAGTCTGTAATGAGCCAGCCATCTGTTTTGGTCCAAATATCCAAGCAATGCTGTTTTAGGGTGGGGCTGTATTCACCTCTTTAGAGTGGGACAGAACCTGAACATGGTGCAGAAAGTGCAGTCTGTGCCATAGTGAGGCACTAGTTTCATTAAAAGTTGAGAGGGCTGTGCAAGCTTCATTATGTCATGGTTTGGAAAGGATTGGGGCATTTCTGAGGCTGTGGCAGGCTTAAATGTAGCGATTTCAATCATGTTTCAAAAACCACCACCAATTGGCAAGCTCCCACAGGCACACTGTATCCCTGGAGATAACCCAGAAGGGACTCTCATATTCTGAAAGAGACACTTGTAAAACCCTAAGTCGTGACGATCACACTGCAGCCGGTGCTGTGGCTCTAGTGGAGGCACTCGTCGGCCAAGTGGGGATTTGAGAAACTGGGGTGGAGCAAACCTCAGTGATGGTTTCTGCCATGGAGAGAGCATGATCTAATACTCCGGTCCAGGAGGGCGAGCTTTTCCACGCCAGCTTAAGGACCATACCTAGCAGAGTTTCAGTCAATCTACTACCAATGACTCACTTCAACCTTGTATATTTATACACAACATCTCCGTCTGGGTGTATTCAGGAGCGATGGCACCCAAAGGGGGGTGACGGCGGAATAACCTGGCAACCTGCTGACTGCCATGTCCACTTATATTGATTACTACAGCGGCTGCTGAGAGGAAGAAAGGGCAGGAGGAACAAAGAGAGAGGAGAGAAATTGTCTCGGTGGGAGCACTTTCTCGCCCGTCCCACTTAATGGACCTCACCGAATTAAAGAGATCTTAACAATCCTGGGCTAATTGTGGGATCACAATATATTAACCCCGCTTCAATTCTAAAGGGTGCCATTTTGTGGCTGTTTTATTCCAAATGCTTCAATTAGCCATAAAACATGCTGGCAAGTGCTGGCCGAGCTGCTCTCCCCCCTCCTTCACCCCAGCCTCCCGCGTCAGAGAAAAGAAAGCCAACTCCAGTTGTTCATTATTAGGTGAGGCCCTTTTGTTATCAGACAGGCTGTCTTTGAGGTTGTCCTTGCCTTTAACTCTTTTATTGAGTTCCACAGCACAGAATTGTGTTCCAGGAGATACTATTCACACAGCTGATAACGACAGGTGAAGGTGCTGTTTTGAACAAACACCTACTTCTGAACACAGGGGCAAATAGCCAAATTAAATCTGCTAATTGCTTCTTGAGGATTCAAAGCTCCTGAGCAAGTTTGCAAAGGATCACATTTTAACGAGCTTTTCGGGGCAATGCATCATTTACATGTTAAAAGGATCCAAATGTGTTGTGAAATTGCCAAAATGATAGACCCGATCACTGAATAACACCGAGATGACGTTTCAACAGACTAAACAGCCCCGCCGTTATCTTCAAATGAGAGGCAGAACATGTGACAGACACTCTGGGAAGATAAAATGTTTCCCATTAAATGGGTCATCTGGTATTTAAAGTACTGTTTATTCTCACTGTCTCCTTTTTGCTCACTCTTCCCTTCTCTCTTTCTGCAGATAGAGAAATAGCATCCAGTTACTTCAGACAGACAGAAAACATTCTTAATAAATTGGCCCCCAAATTGCGTGGCGGGGTTAAATCTGTGCCTTGACAATTTAATTGCGTTGCTTCATCTCAATCTTTTATTTCTTTCTCCCTCTGCTCTCTGCTTGTCAGATTGCAAAAACATTCCCTTGGATTAGGTTAAGCGACGAGCTAGACCGTCTAATCATGGCCCAATCCGAAATTGTGGGGGGTATATGTGCATTTGGCGAGAAGGGCGGGGGGGGGGGGGGTATCGAGTCGTCACATCTTGCCAACAAAAGCAGCCTTGGATTTGATAAACAAATAATGTCATTCTGTGTTATTACCCCAGGCCCCCAGATTTCAGAGGAAATAAATCAACGTCAGCCTTGCCGTTAAGGCGTTAGTGAGGCCCGACACGTCGGCCAGTCACACAGGCACAACATATGGCAGCAGAGGAGGAGGGAGGAAGGGGAGGCAGGGAGGGTGAGGTACGGCACGATGCTCGGCAGAGAGACAAATCATGGCAGCCGCCAGAGACGTCTGGTCATTTAGCATGAGCTTACTGAGATGGAGAGAGGGTGATTATGGCCTATACGGAGCGATGAAGCCATACATAACACTGTTAACTCCCTCTGTGTGTGTGTGTGTGGTGTGTGTGAGGCCGCTCTGACGATGTTCCAAATCATAAAACTAAATGTTAAACCTCCATTCTGGTCAGCCTGTGATTGGCTCATAATACACAGAAACAAATGGACGGTCCTGTAGTTTTCCATCTGACTACAGAGTCAATAGAGCATCTTGTTATTCTGAAACAATTTCCCAAGCATGGTCAACACCATTCTCTGTCACTCTTCTTTTATCATCATATATATCGTGGCTTATCATGATGGTTTTGCGCTGTAAATTGCTAAACCGTAGCGTCTAAATGCACACAAGAGTCCAGTTCAAGCACCAAGCAGCTGATTTCAGGATTCTCAATCTGAGTTAGCTATAAGACCATGTAGTACTCTCTCGCCTTGGCAGGAATTCACTATTCTGTAACTCCGTTTAAACCAAAATGGCAGATCTTTGGATGAAGAAGAAGTGCTGTTGCTGAAGCTGACTGTTTACATGCCAGATGTCTGTCTGAGTTAGGAAGGCAATGCGAGTTATACATCAGTGAGGAAACGGTTCGACCCATCAACGGCGACCAGGATGCGTGTGTGTGTGCAGAGATGATGCATCTCCAGGGAACCATTTGAGACTGTTAGAGCACTATCAGATGAGCTGATGGGGGGGGGGGGGGGAGAAGAGGAGATATCTGTGCGTGTGTGTCACTGAGCCAAAGAGAGGAAGAAAACTGTTGTTACACATCCTGACACAGGCCAGATCCGATTGAGACACGTACCCAAGGGATGTAAGCGGCGCTGTTCTTTTCTGGCTCTATGTGGAGAAATCCTTTGACTGGGGGTGAAGCTAACCACCTGAACTCTGTCACACATCTGCAGAGATCAGTCGCACAGATTCAGACACACCTGGCCCTATCTGTCTTACTTTGGGTCAAAAATCATTCTGTTGTGATATCGTAGACACACAACTCAGAAGATTTGCAATGGATCCAGAGATCAAACACCTGTAGATAAATCTAGAAATCTGCCTTTTTTAACAATCCAACACCAGATTTTAATTAATAAGCCTCACTGTGCAATGATCGTTCTTCCAATTCAAGTTTAAGAGATTCAAAGGTCTCTTGGCCATGTGCACAA